ACAAGCGGTGTCTCTAGGAGACCTGGAGTAATCTGGGTAATCCGAGTCGAAGGACTGCCAGAAGGAACGCCAGAGCTAGAGCGCAAGACTTCCGCAACCGACGGACCAACGACAGGTTGGGCGAGTGGAAAAACTGAAAGCTGCCTGGGTTGGGTGCAACGTTGCTTATATCATCGAGAATTCATTTGATGGTTCAACGTCGATCTTATGCGGCCCCCTACGTAGCGAATGAAGACAGGCACGGACACAGCAGACACATTCCGGGAGGTGCCGGAACGCGACGCAGAATGGATTTTTCGCAGGCGCGGCGACCACAAGGGCCGACTCTATCAGCTCCAGTGTGCTTGGACTCTTGAGCCTAAGGCAACTCCCGAACCTTCGGACATTTCCCAATGGAGACTCTACCAGCAAGTACGCAAGTTGTGCCACGGTACAACACTGCTCCGCAGCCAGGAGGGCAGTTTGAAGAGGCAAGGACACCGGACCTCACAACCACAACCAGCCCTGCAGCATTGTCACAGAAGATGTGGCAGAAGACGCGCTTACCGCAGCTCTCTTAGTGGTGTCAACAGCCTGATCGAGCAACGGACTGTCTCGAACGGAGTGGCCTTCTGCAGAGGGTTCCGAAGGTACTGTTGCTGCACATGTCCTTGCAGCTTTGTTCTCTGGCAGTTGTCTAGCGGCATATCCACATTTAACACATCTTTCGGAAAAACGACGCCGTTGATGAGCGACCCGACTGCAGCCTTGTGGCCAGAGCTGCAGCATGCGATTTGTGTAGGTCTGGTGTTGCCACTGGAAGCAGCGACTGCACATGCCAGAGCAATGGGCAGGAGGCAGGAGGCAGGAAACTTCTGCGACCACGTGCACATTTGCATGCTGTCGAGCACCGCCTTAACGGCGTCTGAAATGTCCTTTCACTTGCTCTGGAGCGTCAGCCATTACTGAGGAAGCTACGGAGATCGGCTTGCAACAGGTCGATGCTCCAACCGAACTGCACGATTGCAGATGCGGACCAGTCAGCAATAACTTAGGACCTGAAAACATGCTTGCTTCCTGCAGAGAAGGATTGCATCTGTCGTGACACGCTGGCACAGCTCTGTGGCTCACCCGACCTAACCTCGGCAAAATGGATGGCTTCCCGCTGGCTCACCCGTGTCCAGCACTGCATGTGACAACAGCCACATCGCTCAAAGCGCTTGACGGGATGAGCCTGGCAGCACGGCCTTTGAAGGCAGGCTTGCCCGAACAAGCCTGCGATGTAGGCAGCATGTTGCAAACGCGGTCCAACGCGACTGGAAACATTCCGTTCCGCACGAGAACTGCAAGATAGAGGCCGGAGGAGCATGTGTCCAACTCGCAATTTTCTTTTCGCCATTCGTTGGCGTCTCTTCCCTACATCGGGCCCACGTCCGGCTGCGTCACAGCACAACGCAGACGGCGAGCCGTGGCATCGAAAAAAAGGGTAGACCAGCTGGGAACCTCAACCTCATTGCATCAGATCCATCGCCGAGGGACGAGGGGAGTCTGAGCGAGGGAGAGATTGCCCCCTCTGTTCGCAGGCACTCGTGCTGCCTGGGCCATCGCAGCTTCATTCTCCGGCAGTCGTCCAGGCGGCGTATTTGCGTGTCTTACATCTTTCTAAAGGATGATGCCGCCGATGAGCAGCCTGTCTGCAGCCTTCTGCCCAGAGCCGCATGTGATTTGCCGTGGGAAACTTGCTTCTTCTGGCCGAAGTAGCTGAGAGGAGGAACGGACTGCATCCAGGCAAGACAGTTGTGTAGGCGTGCCGCAGTCGTATCTGACGCTCCACGCTTCCAAAGAGCTGGTGTCCCCGTCAAACTGCTCTTTGGCCGTGCACCTTGCTTGGGCAAGGGTCGGCGTGTCGCTGATGTTTCGTCACTTTGCCTAGGCTGCACGGCTCTCGGCCTGACAACACGCTGGCATCTTCCCACTCATCGCGGTCAGCGTTGCTGGGGACGGAACGTGACGACAGCAGCATCACTCAGAGGACTTGTTGGGTGGAGTCTTGTGACATGCCAAGCAGCCGCAAGCTTACCACCATAAACCTGCCATGCAGATGGTGTGAGGGCGAAGCTTGGGAGCTTTAGCCAACCCCAACAACTCTGCTGAACATTGCTCCACTCCTGACACAAGCGACGACAAGCTCTCTGTGACGGTGCGTTCCCGAGAGGTGCAGTCGCGATGGGCGCCTTGACGATGGGAGGCGAAGACTGTCTAAGCGACGGAAAGGATGGGACATGGCACCCAGACCCAACCACACGCACGCCCAAGGCTCTGGGAACGGTAGCTGGTGATGCTTCTCTGCGGCCCTTCGTCACGTGCGAGCTCGCCTCCTCGCTCCCGCTGATCTCCTGGCAGCGTGGGCAGCATGCCAGCCGCAAAGCCTCGCCAGGCCCTGCTCGGCCAGCAGGCCCATGCCTGCGATGACACATCTAGGCCCAGGCCCCGAATCTCTCGAAGCTGGGACTCGAAGCCAAGATGAGACGGGCTTCGCGAAGCACGTGCCTCATTCGCATTCGCAGAGAACGCACGAGGATTCTGCCGTGCCGCTGTACCCCACCATCTGGGCTCAGAGCTGGAGACAACCCGCGAATCGTGCGTGCACCCTTAACAGTGCGTGCACGCCGCACCCTGCCCGGACGTCCATTTCGGGAAGCCTGCGAGCAGTGGCAACTTGCTCCTTTGTGCCCGGCGCAATGTCCCATGCCGTGGAAGAGAGGATTGCCAGCAGCTCTGCGCCAGCCGATGGCGTACCCCTCCCACGTTCCATCAGAAGGCACCACAGCGTCAAGCAACGTTTTCGGCAAAGAAAACACAAGCCGCCGTCACACCGCCCTTGCTTACGCGGTGCCTTGCTAAGCCGCGTGCCTCAACCCCGGACGAGCCCCGTGCCTCGCGCGTCCCTTGCCATCATCAGTTTCGCTGCTGCACAGCGATGGCCCAGCAAACGGTCCTTCTCATCAGATAGGCGTGTCAACGAATCCATGGAGCGTCCTCGTCTCTGCTTTGGTCCTGCATGTCGGTCACACGAAACTCACAATGGCCCCAGGCTTTGCGATGTTCAGCTCTTCTGCCGCGGTCGGTGTCGAACCGTAGACACAAGCGAACAGGGGCGCGAAGCGGTGAAGTCTTTCCGCACAAAACCATGTGAATCTGTCCGCTCTGTGACATCTTTCACACTCTGATGGCCTCGACGTTGGCCCATGAATCGCGTTGACCCTCTTGCACCAGCCAAGGGCTGGTTACGACAAGACACTGGCCAGGAGGGCCCTGCAAGGCGATGAGGCACTCGGACGGACAGCCGATTCTCGTGCACACACCGCACACGCCTGCAGCTGTGGAGACTAGAGTGACTAGACCCGGCTCGGAGTCGGAGCTGCTCCGAGATGGGGCACTGGCCAGACAAATCCGCACTCTCTTGCTCACAGCTGCAGGAATGAGCTTCGGTGATTGCAAGAAGGTTTCGGGGCCCTTGGGCCCGTGCCCGCGCGAGAACGCTGCTCCAGCCGGTCATGTTCACAGATGCAAAGAGACATCACTGCTCGTCCCAGCTTGCAGAAACTACCGTCAGGGTCGGCGTGCAACTGCATTGGCGTCTGCCCTTCGCTTGTCCAACCTTCCTGCCACTGGGTGGACAGGAGGCCTCGCCAGAAGTACATGAGCAGACTTTGACTTTGCTACTTACCAACAGCCCGCAAAGGACACCCGTTGCAACTACGACTACGAGCACTGCGGCATGAAGCACGCGCGTGCGGCTGGCCGGGGCGCAAGGTTCAGCATGTTAAATCGGAGTGGATCGGGCTCGCTGCTAACGAGATGTGGGCAGCTACCCGCGGTCCGGCAGCATGGTGGCACTTGCCCGTTGAATCCATCTGCATCTGTTCAAGCTCAGTCGCCGACGTGGAAAGCTCCATGCTGACACATTGGAGATGACAGGCGACGACCGGATCTCACGCGCCATTATAAGTCTGGAGTGACTGAAGGAGCAAGCACGCGGCTTAAAGCGCAAATTGGCGCGAGGCTTGCCTTCACCACGACAGACTCGGGGTTGAGAACCTGCGGCCGAGGCACCTGTCTGGCAGCAAGCACGGCGAGCACCTGCAGCAGTTTCACTACCTTCCGGTCGACGAGCAGCGGAAGATAGCATGTGGGTGGCACGGGAGCCTTCGCGAACCTCGGCACTGCAGTGTCAGGCAGAGCAGCAGGCCGACGAAGCCGCCACGAAAAGCCGGTAGTCGCCGAGAAGCCACGCACAGCCAAGCAGGAGGGAGACGCTACACTGAGAAGGCTGAGAAGTCATTGAAGCATCTAGCACGGTCGTTGGGCTCGGTGGCCTTCTCGTCCAAGGTATGTTCGAGACTACGTTCGACTACTGAACATCCAACGCTGGCCAGAAGGCAGACATTGCCGGGCTGGCAGGTGCAGGACATGTTTCCGGGACTTCAGCTAGGCCGATGCCTGGGCTTTTGCGGCAGACTTGCTCGTTACGATACCTCCACTCAAAGCAAGCAGCCAACATTCTCCATTGCCACTACCCAGCCCGAGGCTGCCCGAGTCAACTTTTCAATCGGCAAGCGGTGCTGCTGCGGGTGGCACGCCGCAAGCCACAGTCGAGAGGCCCGGCAGCGACAAGGCCTCGTCCACGGACGCACTGCACTGTTCGCCCCAAGACGAAATGCAGGAGAGGTGCAACTGGCGCAGCTGTGCGCACGGCGCTGGAGGGACTTTGTGGGGCTTCCTCCCAGCAATGAAGAAACCATAGCACACCGCTTCATTGCTGCATCGGGGCATCCAAAACTTCAGCGGAGAAGGGAGTCGCAAGCCGCAAGAGTGCACCTGACAAAGCATGTGAGGCCATACCGAAACGCACATTGGAGCCACAGAAAGGATGCTGGGGCTTGTGGTCTCCACGGCTTGGTGAATCCTCAGCACCATTCCGGCCCGGAGCAGGGAAGGGCACTTGTAGTCTGGGCTGCTTGGTGGGGGAGCTTGTGTGCGGCTGCGCTCATCCTCCCAATTAGGCCGGTGACGATTTGCGCTGCCAGAGGCACCGATTCACTGCGGCGGGGCCCTGAGCGGGGACGGCACACAAGGCGAGCACAAGACAACACTGCACGGGTACGCGGCACGGACACGAAGCTACTGCGACGAAGGCTTCCCTTGACAACCGTCTCATGGACTACAACAGAAAAAACCCTCGAGAACAGCAGTGTCGTAGACCAGATCGCGAGTACTCGTCCGACCTGGGAGCAACATCCGAGATTTTTTGCTTCCAGGAAGCCCTATTGCAATGCCCTCGGAGATGGCTGGCTGGTTTCTATGGGTTTGGCGTCCTCACCCAGCGACGCAGGTGATCTGCCTGCATTTGCGGCTGGCACTCTGTGTGGATGTCAGCTGCACCCGTCGGAAGCTGCGGGCTGGGCGACTGAGCCCAGCGTCATACTCGATCTCTAAGCTAGACTCTGGAAGAAGGCATCCTGGCTCGGAGGTCCAGGTTGAAGCAAGACGGGGGCCGTTGCCCAAGACGTCGCCTTGGACACTGAAGAACCAGGTCTCCGCGTGCAAAGATGCTTAGGGCGGAATGGCGTCGCCAGCGGCCGAACCCTCGTGCGGGGAAACAGCCACAACAAAGGCTGGAGAGACTTCATGGGCAGGCAAGGAGTAGGCGTCGGGGTATGGGGGCCATGTGAACTCCAAGCAGGAAAGTGTCAAGGCAGGATGGCCCGGGTGGCTGAGATCCTGCGCCAGCGTGCCGTTTTAGGCGTAAGGCATGGTGAGCGGAGCCAGGTGAGACGGGAAAGCTCGCTTCGGCTCCTGTCAAGCCCGGGCATAGTCGAGTGGCGAAGCAGCGGTCCCTCGGCTTTGTGCGAAAGCTGCCGAGTGCCAGGGCTGTGGCCAGCACCAGTAGGCCATGCCCGTGAATCGAGAAAGCCCTGCAGACGGGCCCAAGCTGCCTGCAGTCTGTCAGCTCACATGGCTGTGTCATTGGTGCACGCATGATGCGCTAGCACCGACCCTGGGCTGGGCCAGAGCACAGCAAGAAGCCCGGAGCGAAGTGGGTGCGGCGCACTTCCGCCGGCATCGCACCTCGCCGGAGAGAAGTGCATTGCACGCTCCAAACCCAAGGGCTGACGACAGCGTGTTATGCGGACAGCTTCAAAGCGAGGCCTTTCCCCGTGTCGGCTCAGAGCAGCATAGCATCTGAAGTCTCTGTGCCGTAGCTGCGGCCCTGGTCTGGAGAGGATGGAGGAGCGCTAGGACGCCCTTGAGGGCATGTTGTTATCAGAACATGCTGCTGGTGACCTCTTGCAGTCCCAGCCACTGCCGCGTGGGTGATCATACCGGCTGCTTCAACTTAGCCTTATCATGAGCTCAGCGCACAGCACAGTGCGCAGCCAAGGGCTCTAGAGGAATGGAAGGAAGGGATTGGCTCTGCACGGCCAGCCGCGGCCACAGCTGGAAAGGCTCACAGCCGGCTATCGCAGTCAGCGCAACCGGAAGCCCGAGAACCCGGGTCTTTGAGTTCGGCAGCAGCTCTCGGAAGAGGGAGGTGTAGCACCCCTCCTTTCTCTCTCTTCCCTGCGTAGCAGCCAATGGCAGTGCATCGCGCGACCATGCCGACTCTGAATATGCCGGACCCCACACGCAGAAGCCTGCTGGCCCTGGCGAGGAGGCTGCGGCGGTTGCCAGACCTATGAACATGGAGAGCTAGGTCAGGGTGCGCGCATTCGAGCGGCCCGGCGCAGAAGCCAAGTTCTCGAACTCGGACTCGCACACAGGTTGCGAGCGGCATGCACATGCCCTGCGAGGTCACAGCGGCGTTTGCTGCTCTTGGACGAGGCCCTTGTTAAAGTCTCTGAAGAGCACTCGCAAGCTGCCGACTTCGTCGTTGGGACGTTTGAAGCCTTCGCAGACAGCGCAAACAGCGGTGCAGGCGCCTGGACGGACGTCTGAGGCCTCGACCGAATCGCACGACGCCTTTGTTTGTCACTGTTACCGCAGTATTCCCAGCCCAAGGCGGCCCGCGGCAGCTGAGACAGGCGCGATTGGAACACTCCGAGGGCATCAGGGCCACTGTCGGATGCAAACAGCTGCATTTCTGGGCCCCCGGCGTCGCATCACGATCCGAAGACTTTCGGAGTCTCGCTCGGAGCCCAAGGCCAGAGGCGAAGGCACACGAGCTCGCCGAAGCAGGCTCGGTAGACGGAGAGCAGCAGCAGCGAAACCGTTAAGCCTGCAGCAAAGCCTGTGCATTCGCACTGCAGGCAGGCCGTGGCCCACATCGCTGCCTGCCCGATGCGACCCATGCAGGGCCTCGTGGAGTGTGCTACGGCTGACAGCTCCACTGTCCGAGGACTGCTCCCGGGCGTGCGGTGCACAGCCTTGCCGCTCTCTTCTTCGTCTTCGCAACCTTGCAGGACTTCGGAACGTGCAGAACGCTTACGATGCCTTGCTTGCTACAGGTTTTGTCTGCTTCTCCTCAGGCTCAAAGCCTGATGAGACTCCTCTCGGAGGAGATGCTCCCACCTTCCAGGCAGAGCGCACGGTGCCAGCACAGGCTTCGCGAGGCCACCTGCGCTCTTCCACGAAGAATCATACAGACCCGGCTGCTGTGGCGACGAACCTCCCAATCAGCTCCCGGATGCGAAGCGGCGGCCTCCATCGCCGTCGCCTGGGAGGCGTGAAAGCGCCGGGGTGCTTCCTGCTGCTCCTCTGCCTCTGAGGGCAGAGATCCCGGGCGACACTCCGGCAAGCGTGCTTGGATGCAAGTCCTGCTCTCGCCATACTCGCCTGCCTGCAGCTGAGGCTCAGCTCAGGCTCAGCAGTGCGAGCAACTGCACTGCATCCAGCTTGCACTTCGAGCACGTGTCATCGCACGGCCTGGCGGCCTGACCACATCGGCGAAAGTGCGCACTCTGAGGGCGTGGAGACCATAGGAAATCTTCCGGCGCCGTACCGATGCACAGGTTCCCCTGTAGACCCTCCCAAGGCAAAGCTGCGGCGAGGTGCTGGAGTTGGAGCACGGCATCCAACCAAATGCATGTGCAAGGAGGAAAGACGAGACTTCGCGGACGGCCAGCATCCGGACACGCGCAGCAACGTAGCATGGCACGCCGACGCTCAGTGCTTCAAACTTCTGCTCGCCAAAGGCTGGGC